AGTGTGTGTGTGTGTGTGTGTGTGTGTGTGTGTGTGTGTGTGTGTGTGTGTGTATATAAATACATGTTAACAGTTGAATAAAATTAAAATTTACATATTTCCACAATACAGTGAAATATGGAATTATAATTTGTCAAAGACTGTATCTTAAATTCATAACACTAGAAACTATAGAATATGTATGTTGCCTTTCCCTTTGCCTGACTGTGCTTTGTTACTATGGCAGAAAGATGCAAAGGCTCAACCTAAGTATTTTTTGAAAAAAACTTTTTTTTAGTGGAATTATTTATCAGAAGATTTATATGAAATCTTCCCAGTTAAATTCCAGGTGAGTATTTTTGGCTTGGCAGGTTAATGAAACTAGTAGAGGCTGAACTATGTAGTAATTGTAGGTGAGGGAAAGTTGCTAGATGTTATCGTATTCCAGGGGAGTTCTTCTTTGCTTGTCTTTTGGCCAGATAAAATATATTTTTAATATACACCTCTACCCCAATATAACATGAATTTGGATATAACACGGTAAAGCAGCGCTTCAGGGGGGCGGGGCTGCGCACTCCGGCAGATCAAAGCAAGTTAAATATAACACTGTTTCACCTATAACGCAGTAAGATTTTTTTTTTTTGGCTCCCGAGAACAGCGTTATATCGGGGTAGAGGTGTATTTACTAATATTGATAAACATGTAAGTTTTTGGAAAGAGTAACCTTTCATTTAAAGGAGCAGCAGTCTGAATTTAAGAAAATATGGTCATCTTTCATGGGACCCTCTAGCATTTTTTAATTGAGACAAGAATTTTAAAAGGAGAATTATTCTATAACTAATAGGTATTGATACTTTGTTAGAAGCAGTCAGTATGCTCAAACTCTGCTGGTTACATGTTATATCAGGGCCGGCTTTAGGCCCGGCGCCTTTTTAATTTTTTTTACTCACCCAGCAGCAGTCCGCTCCAGGGTCTTTGGCGGCATTTCGGCGGCGGGGAGTTGTTCAGTGCCGCGGAAGATGCAGAGCGGACCCCCCCGCCTGCCACTGAAGTGCCGCCGAAGACCTGGACCGCCGCCGGGTATTCAGATCGAGTCCTAAAGCCGGCCCTGTCTTACATTATAAAGAGGGTTTTCTGTAAGATTTCTAAATCTGTGTGAGAGTTACTGGTTTAAATACCTAAATATGTTTTTCTGCTAATAAAAACTAATTGTTCTGAATCCTGTAGAATTAATTTTGCCAGAGTTCAAAGGTCTGTGACTTTCCTATTTTGAGACAGTGAAATATACAGTTGATATATCTGTTTATAAAATGTGAAATGGAGAAATGTATCACTCCAACTCAATAAAGAGGCAATGGCAATATAAATTACATTGCAGGTCTTAATTAGTAGTCATTTGCAATTTGTCTATTATCCTGTTTAAAAGTATGTATTTAATGATTTTAAGGTTACTTGAACAGAATAAGTGGTTTAATCAGGATACTTTTGTAATCATAGCACATTATCATAGTGTGTTTTGCTTAATTTCCTTTGAAGGAATAATAATAAAAATCTATGATTCCTAATAGTCAGAAGTACTTTGTGTTCCTGCAGGTAGTAAACAAGAGTTCTTTGAAGAATAGTTGCTCAATAATACCTAAGAATTCTTAGTGAAAGTATAATTCTGTAGTTAACATTGTAACTTAATTTTCGTTAAACCTTTTTTGTGATGTCTCTTTCCCCCTTCCGCTCTCCAATTTAATTTTCTCATGGGCATATTGACCTGAAATTTCTCAGATTGTCTCTAGCCAGAAGAGTTTTATGGCAAACTGATGCTATTTTGAAAAGGTATTTTGGAGATGTGGGATTTTATTTTTATTTTTAAAAAGTTACGCTTTTCCCATTTGAAACCTCTTTTTTTCAAAGTAGTATTTAAAAAGATAATCTAAAAACAAAATAATTATTTAAAATATTTTTCTCACCAAGCATCAGTAGGAACTCGCGCATATTGAGAACAGCTATAAAGGTAGGCAGAAACATCTAGCATTAGTAGCTAGAACTTTCTAGAAGCTCCATCATGTCTTGGCTGATATTTATAACTTGATTGGTCAAGTCAATAGCGCTTGAAAAGGCCAAATGCCATGTAGCTCTGGTTCAAGGGATTTGGAAGAGCTTCTGACTCTCCTGGTGGAGCTTGTAAAGTCATCACTGTATCTGCTTGAAAGAACTCTCATGTTTTCCTGATTAATTGAGGAATTACATCATCAAATAGCTGCTTATTCATCATTTCTGGACAGAACTTTTTATGCAAGAATAAACCCGCAGAGAATTGTTCAGAAAACACGTATGCACTGCAGTATGAACTACCTTGCATCACTAATTATAATATGAAATAGAAACACATTCAGGTTGCTTATTGACAAAATATTTGATATATTGCCTTCATAATAATGTATCCACTAAAAGTCTTCCCCAGCAGAGATCTTTAAACTGGAGTTCTCTTTCAAGATAGATGTATTATAAACAAAAAGATCCTCAGAGCATTTTAGTTGAACAAAAGCACTTAACTCTAAATCATCTGAGTTCCAAATATTTAAGATTCAACTCTGACCTGATTAACCTACATATCTACTTTACTCCATATACATTTCCCTGTCTCTTTGCTTGCTGTGAGCAATCACCAACTTTCACATACTGGCTACAGACCCAATTCCTTTTGGACTGCCAGCCCATCAAGAGCCAGAGATATTAATTTCTTCTCACATCTTTGTCTCCACACAGAGATTAGAGGTAAAGTCCTCCCATTGCTCATCTTAATGCTGTGATGTAAAGATCATGGTGCCATCTTGTACCTCAACCTTTAGATAAGGACCTGAGGAGAAAAAACACCCCTTTTACCTTTCTATAAATTGGATAACTTACTTTCCCTCATCTTCCTTCTTTATACAGACTACAAATCTCTCATGCACCTAATACGATTCGGAGATTTTTCTCTCCATATACATGCCAGATATACACATCGTTACCCCATTCACTCTTCATCTACTTGGTGCAAATGTGAGAACACTACATCTGTTGGAACAGGCTTGGGACCTTGGTTCTTCCTCATGGATGCCAGCATGTGTGTAGAATATGTTAGATTTTCATTTCTTTCAAACGTTTCTGAAAGTTGTAGCTATGCACACATATATCCCAGTTAGGTTGACAAAGAGCAGGAATGCAAGTTGAATTAATATTGTTCTGGAACGATAGTTTGAAATTAACTGTCATATAGTATTTTCTGAATTAATATTTAGTGTTCTCTGTTCTAGTAAGGTTTGTTTTGTTTAACATATATACATTTCCAGCTTTAAGTCTCAAAGGTATATTTTCTCTGGGAATTCCCTATGATCTTCAGGTATAAAGAGATCTTATTTAAATGTTCAGTTATTGTGAAATTAGCTCCTTTGTGTTTTTTATCTCTCTTCAGAATCTTGATGAAACTTGTACAGAGTTGAAATAATCCAGTTAATTTATAGGCCAACATTTGAAAATATCTTGATGTAGAGGAGAGTTTTTATACAATAAACAATCTACTGTAGATGAAAAATTGCTGTTCAGATTTTCCTTTTATCAAAAAAAAAAATTGAAAGAATATATATCTTGCCCTTCCCTCCTAGAATATTAAAGATGATACATCTGCACTTGAAATAAATTGATGGTATATTTGCAGTTAAATGGGGGGGACATGTTTATATTTTGCTAGGTGTGAAACATACATCATATTTAGTGGGATTATATATAGAGTGTATAACTTGTTGATTGTTAAAGGGAGCCACTTTCATAATGCTACAGAAAAATAATTCTCTAGGGTCATGTCCTAAACTCCACAGTTACAACGGTTGTACTTCTGAGAAGGGCTGTTGGGGATCTTGCAGGACAGGAAGTGATGTAAATGAGAATGAAGTTGAACTCTTGGGAATATCCTCTGAGTAGATAAGAGAAACACTTCTTTAAAAAAAAAAAAAAAATCTAATCTAAACTTCATGCTTAAGAAGAAAAATTCCCTCCTTCCCACTCTCCGTTCCACAAGGTGGCTGTGCTGGGATGTGAGCATCAGCTCCCCTTCTGTCTCCAGCTTGAGACGTTTTAGGGAAGAAGGGAATGGATAGGCTTTCACTCCCTAGGACGACTCTTCAAATCTTGCATTTAGAAGTGGGGGAAGGGTTTTTATCTGAGCTTAACCATTTAGTATAAAAAGCAGTCTACATTTAAAATGGTAGCAGCAACACAAAGCCTTGTGCTGCCACTGAATATGTATGTAAATGGGGTGAGGAATGGCAGGAAAAGGATTAGTATCCCTACGCAGGTTAGGTGGTTTTGGGCCCACCTCTCTTCTTGTTGAGAAGACCCTAATAATTCACAAAAGAGGAGCAGAAAAACTCTTATCACTCTCCCCCTCCCCACCAAAGAAATTAAAAATAACAATTGGGACATACTATTGAAAGGGTTACTGGCTATTTAATCAGAAATTTTATTCTTTAAAAAATTAGTCCATTTAATGGTATCTGTTCAATATTTGCCTAAACCTCAAACATCAATGTAGACAGTGTCTACATCTGAGTATAGTGAGTTGTTATAAAAGCAGTAACTACAACTCAGAAAAGAGTTGAAAACCCTGACATGCTAGCTTACTACCTTTTTGTAAAAACAACGAGGAGTCCGGTGGCACCTTAAAGACGATCAGTTAGTCTTTAATGTGCCTCTGGACTCCTTGTTGTTTTTGTGGATACAGATTAACATGGAGACCCCTCTGTTACTTGATACTTTTTTGTAATAAAGAATATTTGAAGAAAAACAGCCATTCTTTTTATAGACTAATAGTTTTATATTGTGACTACAGACTAATGTGTCTTCATATTGTGTACCTATACATCCTTTCCGAAAGAAATGTGAAGATACTTGAGTTAGACACGGTATTTTTTGTAAACTCAGTGCATCTTTGTATGTTCCCCCCCATAGCAAAGCAAAAACTAGAGGACAGACTGGCAGCTGCCGCAAGAGAGAAGCTAGCACAGGCCTCCAAGGAATCAAAAGAAAAGCAGCTTCAAGCAGAACGCAAACGGAAAGCTGCACTGTTCTTGCAGACCCTGAAGAATCCCTTGGCAGAAGCAGAAGTTGAGAAAATTGAGGAGAATTCCTTTAATATGGAGGTAAATTAAGAGTAAATTCCATGTACCGTAGTGGTTAATAGAGAGAACCTATGCATAGAAATTCTCTGACTACGTTATTTTTTAATTAAGCTGACTTAGAAGTTACAAGCTCTTCCTGGATAACAGAAACCTCAGTTTAGAAATCTGTCTTTTCAGATGCCTTGTATATTTTTTGGATCAACAGAAATGTATCTATCACAATTGGTAGATAAATTTGAGAAATATTATTACTGTGTCAGTTTGTATGTTCTATACAATCAAATGAAAAAAAGCATGGTCAGATTTAAATCTAACGCTGCATTGAAAATCAGTGGATCAGTATCCACCCACCCGAGATTAAAGTACATCTGATAGCATTTTTCATTTTCAGTTCCTCTGTTGCTTGTAAATCTATAAATTGGGTTTTAGAAGAGGCATTTTGAGGTTTCAATACAGTTCAGCTGTGGTTTGCATACATGTGGTTTATCTAGAGAACTGAAAATTGAGTTAAACTTAGTGTAAAAATGTGCTGCTGGAAATGCTAATACAAGACCCAAACAAGGTGTGTGCACAATAAGCCCCAGACAATTAGACACTGAATTATATTGAAAGACTGGCGGTGAGAGAATCCAGGGGCCTATTCATCCTGTCAGTTGCATATCAGTTGACTTCAGTGGAAGTTGCACATACACAACTAATGGGATCACATGGTCCCTTACGTTTTATTTTTGCTGTTGCTCTTTTCCAATGAACCTTTATATAGTGTAAGGAACCAGGGTTTTTGGTACTGGAGGAATTTGCAAGTCGGTTTGGAGTATCACGTTGCACATTTCTTATAAAGCTCAATCTTTGATCAGTGGGGAAGCTCAATCTTTGATCAGTGGGGATGATTACCTCTTACTGCCTGTCAAGAATGCCAGCAAGGAAATTATGGTTGGTCTAAACTGAAAAGTTAGATCAGACTAGCTACAACTCTTGGATATGTAAAAGAGATATAGTTAAGCCAATCTAACGCCTGGGTTAGACACTTGGTCAACAGAAGAATTCTTTGTTCAAGCTTGCTACTGCCTCTCAAGGAGGTGGATTACCTACAGCAATGGGCGAGGGATAGCTCAGTGGTTTGAGAATTAGCCTGCTAAACCCAGGATTGTGAGTTCAATCCTTGAGCGGGCCATTTAAGGATCTGGGGCAAATATCTGTCTGCTTTGAGCAGGGGGTAGGACTAGATGACCTCCTGAGGTCCCTTCCAATCCTGACGTTCTATGGTTCTACACTGAAGTGCTACAACAGGGTAGCTGTAGACATTCTGTAGCAGTGTTTTGAATGTAGACATAGCCTTAGACATATGGCCTGTGAGAGGCTGCTTTCCTGCCCCTCTCTCCTACCACTAAAATACTTGTCTGTGGATACGGTTGTCAACCTCACTAGATCTAATACAAGGCAAGAATCAGCTGGGGAGTTTTCAAAATCTTTGTCTGAGTGAGTCAGTACAGTGTTGTTCTCTCATACAGGCAAAGGCTGAAAGCTGCTTGAATGTTGATAATGACTTAAGATCTGGTTCTGGGGAATAATAGAACTAACAGTAGTGTCCCCTCACTGCCCTAAATGCCTCTCTGGATCATTGTCATCAAAGAAATTAGGGGCAATTGTCTTGTCGGTGTGAGCCGGTTACTGGAATTTACCGTATCTGGATTAAAGATGATTACTGACTCCGTTAACCAGTTTTTTTCAGCAGACAATAGAACGGCCAAATAATTTATCACTAGTATAAAACTATTACACGTTAGTCTACTGATAACAGTTGAGCATAACAGTATCTTGCTGGCTTCTTAAAGCCCTGTAGCTTTAAGAATTACATTGATCCTTTTTATAAGATTTGCATTTTAACTAGCCAAGCTTTTAAAGAGGCATCATGGATCAAAAAAAGTTAAATGTTAACACGTGTTCTAAAAGTATATTTGTTTTTAATTATCAGGAGACTATCCTATCGATTTTTAAGGTAAAATAAGATAATCTTGCATTTTTATTACAGCCATATAACTATCTTTTGAGTGAAAATGTATTTGCTCTGTCACTGCATGGAATAATTATCATAGACAACAGTAGGCATCAATCTTTGGTTCATAATTAAATCATGAAATACTGATCACAATGTATGTCCCATCTTATAACACAAATGAGAGCTAAAATTTTACCAGGCTAATTGTAGCTTTCTTTTTTACTCTAGGAGTATCTTTAATTTAATTTTTAATTGATTTTCATTTCTATACAATATAGAGGCTCAAACTATATGTATAGTCCAAATAAAAAAAAAAAGTAAGAGAACTGAAAAAATGCCCCGATGACTAAACAGAGTAAAAAAAGATTTTTCAAAAAATAATTAGGTTCATCGATGACAGGTCCACCAATGGCTGTTAGCCAGCATGGTCGGAGACATAACTCCATGCTCTGGGAGTACCTGAACCTCTGACTGACAGAGCTGGGAGTGGACAACAGGGATGGATCACTTGGATAAATTGTCTGTTTATTCCCTCTGAAGCATCTGGCACTAGCCACTGTTGGAAGACAGGATACTGGGCTAAATGAACCATAGGTCTGACCCAGTATGGCCATTCTTATGTACTTCTCCAGCTTTGCACCTAAGGCTTTAGCTTGCACGTTCAATTACAGTTCATCAACAAGGTAGGTCTATGTCTAGACACTAGAGGGTTGTTGCCCGTGTCAGTAACTAAAGCAGAGCCCACATTCTTCATAAAGGGAGAATAATAGCATTCTGAGGAGGAGGATTGATTAAATAAATGCATTCATGGACTGAGGAGCGATGCGATTCTGAAATAATATTAAAATTCAGCTTGGACTCGGTTGCTGAAGGGCCTTTTTGTTGAAGTATTGGAAGGCCTGGGAACATTAATAAAAAGTAATCAGGAAATCCAGTAATTCCTTGTTTATATTATGTCATTTAATGTGTAGTATTTAGTATCTGGTTGTATAATGTGTAGAATGATGGGAACCCAACCTGGCTGAGGCCTCTAGGAACTCTTGACTTTTCATTTTAACTACAAGACTTCTTAGAGGACTGGAGAATGACCAGTGGGATTGTGCAGTGTTGTAGCCGGGTCGGTCCCAGGATATTAGAGCAACAAGGTGGGTGAGGTAATATCTTTTTTCGGACCAACTTCTGTTGGTGAGAGAGACAAGCTGATTAGTGGAGAGAGAAGGAAATAGTTCCAGTTAGACTGTCTCAAACTTCATATTCTTGGTTGAGTTAAACAAATTAGAACTAAAAACACCTTCCTGCCAAACAGTTAAATTAAAAATGTCAGTGAAGTGCTCTAGTCCCTTTCTACATCAGTTGAAGTCTGAGAGAACTCTACTTCTGTTTTCCATTGCTTCAAGTGGGTGGAGAGGAAGCAGCACTCTAACATAACTCAGATGATCAGCATGTGCTTCGTAATCTTAACTATATGTGCAGAGTAAACCAAAAGACAAAGAATGAGAGCTGTATTAAAAAAACAGGATATCTCTCTGTTAAGGAGCATTGGAAACAAGAAAGAACTAGAAGACATTAAGTGAAGGAGTTCAATATCTAGTGTGCATAATGGAAACTTGGTGGGATAATTCACTAACTAGTATAAAATCCATCTAAAAAATTGGAGTAGTCATCCTGAGATGTTATCTTTGTATTGAGAGGTGAAAGAGTTAGCATTTTCTATCGATGACATGTACTTTTGCACACCATGTTGCCATCAACCTACTACTGCCTGAAATTTGACAACTAGGTGTGGCAGTGATTTTTGTGCTGAAGTTATGCTTGTCACAACTGTGTAGATAGATGCAAAGAATGAGCAAACCTGTTTTACCTCTATCAAACGGGTTTTGAAGTAATGCTAGTGCTGCGTTTTATTTTATACCTTCAAAAAATTGATTCCTCTGGTACCACATGTGTAGGATGTTTGATGCTATTGAGACCAACTGACATTTTAAAGCCTTTTTGCATTAAACTATACCTTGAAAATAGTCAAATTGGTTTCTGCTGTAGTTGCATTTTTACTACTTTTGTGTAGTTCTCTTGTAGCATTTTATCTTGACTTATTACTACAATATACATGCACATCTCTTGAGGCAGTTAGCACCAGAAACAATTTAGGACTTGGTGAGTAGAGACCCAGTACCAAAAGTTACCGAGAGCTCTGAGTGACACTGGTAGCCAGGGTTCTCTTCACCTTTTCAAGGTCAGACTTGAAAGAGAACTATTTCTTCAATATTTTGTTTTCTGCATGTGTATTTATTTTTAAAAAATGCACTTACACTATAACAAGAAAACTCTACCCATCAACTCCTCTCCTTAGGAGAAGTTTGAGGAAATAGGAGGTGCAACTTGTCCTGAAAGTTAGCAAAGAAGTTAGCAAATTGACCTAAGGTGGGAAGCCCTGAGGAGGACTTTGGAGTATCACTTTGAGCATCCCTGGTTAAGACAGTGATGCCCTTTCTGTTTTCAAAAAATACCACCTGTATGATAGCACTGAAAAGTCAGTGTGTTTAGTTTGCTGTTTTATGAACAGCCAGTGTATGCAATTTAAATGGAAAATTCTGATTATAAAAGGTTTACCAGTCACTTCCTTACAAAGAGTTTCTCAGCCTGCACTACTAAACATACTCTAAACATTTTTTAAAAGCATATCAGTATGCTTTTAAATTGATGAAGATGAGACTTATGAATAGAATGGAAACATTTTTGGAAAATGTATGTACCTACCATGAGCGGAGTCCAGGGTTTTGTGTTCTCATGATACCTATTTTAAGAACCGCAGCTTCATTCTTTTTTGTTTGTTTGCATCAGGGAATAGAATAAATTCACTTCATTCAATTAAATACCTAATTCTGGCTATTTGTATTGGTTGAACTCTAAATATGTGTATCAGTATTGATAGCCTCTACTGACCAAGAATGGTGTAGAGCAGGGGTAGGCAACCTACGGCACGGGTGCCGAAGGCGGCACGCGAGCTGATTTTCAATGGCAC